TTCTATGAAAATAACAAAGGAAAATCACGCAATTTGATTGGACGATGAGTAATGTACGCGCTAAATTGATTTAAATATGCCATTTAATCAACTAGATAATAAATAGTCTGGTCAACCTGTTCTCAATAAGGATGAACTTCAAACTAATTGAAACAAATGCTTTTAATGGTTTTAATGGTAAAAACTAAAGTTTATGTATATATACATCATATTTTTAAAATATACAGAAACATATTTTGCGGAAAAGGATGATTTTGGGGTAAGAAATGAGGTTTTGAAAGTAAAACTGAGAAAAACTAGTAAAACTATTAAATATAGGTATTTTTTTACTAATACTGATTCTTTTTTTCTTTAGAATGCAACATATTAATGAATGAGTTATTAAATGTTATTAAGACATTCATATGCAATCATTGTGTCCATATGTTATCATGATTATATAGAAAAACATTATAAAACTATCTAAAAACCGTGAAAATTTTTAAATGTTAATTTTTTTGTTAGTTTTCTAGCAGAATCTTAATGTTGGTCATATTGAAACACGATAAAACTTCTTAAACTGTATTTTTTACAAAGTATATCTCTTTTACCAATCACCAAAGCCTGAGTGTTGTGTATTACAATATATTGTTTTTGATGAAAAAAGTAAAATAACAAAAATACCGAACTTCAAAGGAAATTCAAAACGGAAAGTCCTTTATAAAAGGGCAAAATCAAAAGCTCAAACACATCAAACGAATGGAAAACAACTGTCATATTCCTGACTTGGTACAGGCATTTTCTATTGTAGAAAATGGTGGATTAAACCTGGTTTTATAGCTAGCTAAACCTCTCACTTGTATGACAGTTGCATAGAATTCTGTTATATTGACAACAATGTGTGAGCAAAACAAACAGACATAATAGGTAAAAATGTCAAAAATTTGGGTACAGCAGTCAACATTGTATTATAATCTTAAACACTATAAAACACAAATAATTATTTCAACAAAGAAAAACAAAATGGCATATAGACACTCCATAGATAAAGTACATAAGCAAAAATGAAAGACACGAATACAAAATTGACCATAGCACAATAACACAATGGCGGGATGTACAAGTACCGAGCCACGCCAAAAGTACATTACCAAAAATGGACTAAACAGCAAAGGTTAAAAATGTACAAGGACAAATAAAAAGAACAAAATAACACGTAATTAAGATGATAAACAACGTCAGTACCTAGAATCCATACTTCAAGACCATCATGTATCATTTGTGAAGTTGATACGGAATATTTATCAACAAGATCTAAGTATCTTCCAATGAATTTTTTTTAGAAAAAGGACGAGACGTTCTTTGACATAACCTTCGCTCATCAACTTTCTGCTCAGACACTGGTGACGTTTTATATAGTTTGTGTAGCAGCTGCAAGCTCTTGAATACCGAATGAGTTGGAAATGTATATCCCATATGCAGGTGAAGTTGGTATATTGCTGCTAAGGTGGGGAAATTTATAATTTTAAAATTTAAATCGTATTGCTTGGCATAGATTCTGGTACTGAGATGACCACTTATGTCAAATTCGAAGTATAAGTCTAAAAATGAGGCAGAGGAAGCCGTGTCTGTTGTTTCTTTAATTTCTAGTTCTGGAGGATATATTAATGGAACCTAATCTAAAAGGTTTGGATTGTTGATGGACAGAACATCATCAATATATCTGAATGTGAAATTAAATGATCTGGCTTCTTTGATCTTCTTGTTTTTGACAAGTGTCTGAAGGAACTCTGACTTATATGAAAATAAGAAGAGGTCGACAAGGAGAGGCGCACAGTTCGTTCCTATAGGAATGCCGACTATTTTTTGAATAAATCTACCTCCAAATTCAACAAATATGTTGTCAATAAGAAACTCCAGCATGAATTTAGTATTCCAAAAATGAATTTTGAAAAATCTATAATTTTGATTTTTTTGTTATAAATCTTTACCAAGAATAGTTTAGTGATGGTCTTACTATTGGTCAATGAATGATCAAATTTTAGCAACAACAAAGTCACTCAAATATATATATATATATATACAAGTCTAAATTGAAAACAACGTTCAAACCTATGATTGCGTTGGATAAAAACCGCCATTTTTATACGTGTGCATGCAAAACAAATTTCTTGGTAGAGGGGTCTAAATACAGCACAAACAACATTTTCCAAAAGACCAAATGAGTGAAAAAGTATATTTTAACAAAACGCATTTGACTAGCAGGTCGAACAACTGATGTTCTTAAACCCTGCTGACTGCCATTGGCGATTGCCAAATAAACGGATCACCGATGTAATAAATGGATCTTAATTATAAATTTAATACTAAACAGAAAACAATAGACTTGCGGAAAAGATGGTATACCGCAAACAAAAGGTGCAAAGGTTTTTGTACACCATATCCGGATTTCGACAATTAATGTCTCTTCAGTGATGTTAGTAATCGAAACGGTATTTGGAAGGCCATATAATTTACCTCAATTTAGGATAGACTCTTAAATTTTGAAAGAGTCAAAATAGGATGAACGGATCATATAAACCCGAAGGCAAATATAATACAAGCCCAAACGAAAAAATATAAACAAGTCTAAATTGAAAACAACGTTCAAACCTATGATTGCGTTGGATAAAAACCGCAATTTTTATACGTGTGCATGCAAAACAAATTTCTTGGTAGAGGGGTCTAAATACAGCACAAACAACATTTTCCAAAAGACCAAATGAGCGGAAAAGTATATTTTAACAAAACGCATTTGACTAGCAGGTCGAACAACTGATGTTCTTAAACCTTATATATATAGTCATGTGTTCTTATTTTCCTCGACATCAAGTTCGTCTGGTTCAAGTTCTGAGATCGAACAGTTTATTCCTTTGCACAGTCCAACCCCATTGCAGGGGGGTCAATTTCCTCAATACTTTTCCCATCCAGTATTGACACTGAAGATAAACACGCATAGAGTGGGAACTCTGCAGCATCGATAGCTGGCAGGATAGTCTGAACTTGCACGATATAAGATCTATCTAGTGCCATGGTTTTTGTTGTGAACTTTCTCCAACCAAGTATATCTAGTCCCTCTTAGGGCATTTTACCAAACAAGTTTACGAGTGCTTCTTTTTGCCAGCCAACCAGTAATGGCATGAACAAACGGAAGTTGAAGGCACACATCTTTACCAAGAACTTGTTGTGTTATCTGTTTATCCCAAACCTTTAAGTTTTTCATAAAACTCTGTTTGTCAGTGGTAAAGAATATGCAATGGGAATTCTTTTCTGCAAGATGACTGAGCAGTATCAACAAGTCAGTGTCTTCTCCGTATACCACAACCTCTTGTCTGGTTGGTTTTTCAACAGCTATCTAAACGATAAGCAAATCTGCATCTCCTTGGCCTGTATAACCTCGATACTATGTTCTTGAAGTGTAATAGAAATAAAATTGATTCCAAATGATTACTCAGACCTTGCCTCATAAACCTAAACACGATAATATTAGCTAAATTATTCATTTATCATTTCAGCTAAATGTTGAATTTAGTCAACCTTTAAAACCATAAAGATAAGGTCAAATTTGACAGTCATATTGGGACACAACAGACTGGTCTCGGTGTTTTACTGTCTCCATTAATTTACGCGGCATTAGAAGGCAAAACACTACATAGAAAACTAAAGACTGCTAAAAACTACACGAACCCCAACAAAAAACTCGGGTGATTTCGTGTGTTCCGGAAAGGTAAGCATATTCTGCTCCACATGTATCATCCCTCAGGTATCTCATTCTAAGTAGTTTTTTTTATTTATTTATTTGGTTGGAGGGGGTGCTTTGTACCGATCTACCGCTTTTAACTAATGTTTACAGTTTGTTCTAATATTGTGTTGTATCAAACCTTTTCAAGGTTAAGGGGAGGGTGAAGCACTCTTAGAAATGGTTAACACCGCCATATTATTTATGTGTTGGCCCACATCAAAAATTTTGATTCTCTAAAAAAACTGCAGATTTCAATTAAAGTTTATAATAACTTCATTATACCTGTAAGGAATGTTTTTTTTCTGTTTTCTTGTTTTTTCTCTCGCATTCTCCCACCTGTCTCTCTATCTTCTAATCTCCTATGCACCCATCTCATATCTCCTCTTTTTCTATTTCCAACCGCTTCTCTTCTAACCTCCATCTTACCGTGTCCGCCCCCTTTTGGATTAGTGGTTTTTTTCTAGCAGCTCATCTCATCCATAACCCTTTTTGTACAGGAAGATGTCCCTGTTCCGAATCGAAAACTGTAAAAATATTTTGAAGGACAACTAATACAAAAAGAAATGTGGGCAACTTCAAATATTTTGACTAGTATATCAATTTTAAAAGTTCCTGTAGCGAATCGAAGTATCCCGTAGATATGGTTATCAAATTTATTTCATTCGATCAATATTTTGAAAGTTTACATTATCTCAATTAGGACTACCGTAAAAAATCTTTTTATCGTGTCACACGTCTAACAGAGTGTTCATTCTAAAATTGAAACCTTGAAAGGTTATAAAAATAAGAAGGTGTTGTATAATTGCCAATGAAACAACGCCTCCAACAGAGACCAAATGGCATACAACAGCTATAGGTCACCGTACGGTCTTCAACAATGAGCAAAACCCATACCGCATAGTCAGCTATAAAAGGCCCCGAAATGACAAATATAATATTGATCGACATAAATAATATGTTTCTTATGACTGGTAAGAAGTGAAGCACAGATTATGTTACTGTATAAAGTCACATGCACTATGTTTTTAGAACAATATCCTATTTGAAAATGACAAACACAAATGTGTACCTGTTCATTTCGACGATCAATACTACAATATGTTAAAAATAGTACACACTTAAAGGATCGATATGATTCAGATTCCATCAACTAGGTGAATCACGCTTAATTTACCACAGTAGGAATTACGCCTATTTTCGACATTACCATATTTAATATAACTCGTGACTACCGTTTTACTTGAAGTTCATAATGCATTATCTCCTCAACCGTAAAAAACCTTAATCATATTAATCCCACGGGTGTCGTGTAAGCATATATGTGTTAGATAGAATGCAACGAAATGTAAGTATTCGTTTTTTCGTTATTATAGATTTTATTAAAACTATTTCTAATTTATCTTCCCATAGATGTGCCGAATGAAATATTGTTTAAGATATATGTATAACAAAGTGATAAAAAAATATTTTTTGTTATAAAATTTAAGTATTATTAGGCACTTTTGAATTATTTCATAAACAATATTTGCAATACGATTTTCGCATTAGGGAGCGACCATTTAACTCTGATGGGTTATATGTTGGGTTTTTTTCTGAATAAATTATTCTGATTCCCAATTTTGAAGGAGAAACATATTTTGATCATGGAGAAGAAAAACTAATTTTCTGATCGAGAGTTTTTGCCTTTAAATTATAAAAAAAATAAGTGCTTACAAAAATTTGATGCCTACGTGGTTCAAGAATATAAAAAAAACATAACCGCCCCATCTAGTTAAGTTTTCGTTCCCTTCTGACAGAGGCATTCTTGATATTAGTATGAAATTGAATTTCTTTTCTAGCATTTAGTTGTTTCTCTTTTGTATCTTTTTTGTTCAGTGTGTAAAGAGATCTTAATTTCAGCGATATTTCAAAATCATGTCAAATTGAATATCATAATGACACGTAAAAAATGAAATATAGTAAAGTGTAATAAAGTAAACTAACCTTTATCGTGAAAAGTTGATTACGTAAATTTCCCTAATGCGCCATTAGTAATAGTGTAAGTAAGTGAGTATAAGTAATTAAGTAAGTAAGTAAATTTTATTTAGAAAAAAAAGTATTATAATTATATTTGAGTTTGAGATCTACATCAAAGTCTTTAATATTAAAATTTTTTAAGAATATAATATTGTGAACTACTAAATATCTCATACTGTACACTCTGACAAAAGTTAAGCACCACTAATCTTAATAATTTTTCCGACGAATGTCGAATATTGGTCTGAACAGCCGTTTTATATCTGGTCACTTAGGTGTTACCCGCACTTTTACAAGCAGACTTTTGTGCCGATTGTGTCATCCGGAACTGTTGAGAACCGTCCAAGATCTGGCTGACCACGAAAAATACGCCAAGATATGATATATACCTGTCCCGGCAGGCAAGGATGAACGCATTTACAATACCTAGTCTGTTTCGCAATCGTTTTTTTTTTCGTTGGTCATAGAATACTAGTAAATGTAAGAAATGTGTTTGTATATAATACGCATGTTGCTTCGTTTCCTCCTTCGGGCTTGCTAATTAATCAAAGGATAAGGAGCCTCTGGTTCAGTAATGGTCGTTGGTTCATTTCTGTCATAATCGTTTTTCGTAATGTCTTTTGTTAGAAATTATGCCGTTAGTTTTCTCGTTTTAATGGTTTCACATGTTCTGTGTTTGGGCATTTAATAGCCGACTATACAGTATGGGTTTTCCTCGTTGCTGAAGTCAATATGGTGCTTACATCCACTTCATTTTAAATATGTTGTCTCATTGGCAATCATACCACATCTCCTTATGTTTTATATAAATTTCCTTTAAAGCCTCAAAGGGAACGAACGAAGGAGTGGGCTTGATTGAAACCATTGACAATGAAATAGTCGACAGTTGATAAGGATTCATTGGTTTGATTAGAGTCGATTCTTTCTGAAACCTGTTGACGTTAACTTTCGGGCATGTTTGGAGAGAGAAAAAACGGCCTAAAGAGATAAACATGTTCCTGTAACAGGCAACCGTGTTTGGAAACATACGCACAGTTGGTGTTGTAGCAAATAGAGATGCTTTTTACATGACTGCTATCTGGATGGTCATACTTTGACCAATAGACCTGTCTTTCAGGAGGACAAAGCTTGATATTATCGTGCTCGTATTGTGATACAATTTATTGCATCTAAATCAACTGACACTATAACATGTGACCATGCATGTACACGTGTGGCACTTTATCCGGAGAAAAGTTAACAACAGTGAATCCAAATGAACCATACTTGCTGCACTGAGTAGTGCATTGGTACAGGAACGGAAAAGGTTCTAACAATTTAAACTCCGACGTCTTGTTCAAGGAATGAGACAACTTGAGATTCTTCTGTACCGGAAATGCGAAGGGAATACCCCCATACTGACTCTTAGGGTTTTATAACGACATCGTTGGCTTCATGAAAAACTTGATTGCAGTTACAAATTGTACAAATGGTGTGCATATTAAAACTATTATTATTGTATTAGCCCCTCTCATTTTAAAGTACAGGGACATCACGTATTATAAACTTCAGTGATTGCAAAGACTGGATAAGTGAAAGAACATTAGGGAAAATTACCGGTAGTTAAAAAAGAATTAAACACAAACACATTATATCCACTTCATTCTAACTCTGGTGGATAGTTGTCTCATAGGCAATCTTACCACATCTCCTTGTTCTAACTCTGGTGGATAGTTGTCTCATAGGCAATCTTACCACATCTCCTTATTCTAACTCTGGTGGATAGTTGTCTCATAGGCAATCTTACCACATCTCCTTGTTCTAACTCTGGTGGATAGTTGACTCATAGGCAATCTTACCACATCTCCTTGTTCTAACTCTGGTGGATAGTTGTCTCATAGGCATTCTTACCACATCTCCTTGTTTTTATAAACAAAGAAAACTAAAGAAAAAGAATGGCCTTCGCAAAGTATTAATAGGGTATTTGCGTTTCCCAAGCGCCTGTGTTCTGCAGTACTATCTGACTAATTTCCCTTTAGTTTTTAACTATTATATAGTACGTAAAAAGTCCTTGTTTTACCAGAGCATTGTAGTACCCAAGGGAATTCACATTTATGGAATAAAATACTCCTGTGTATTTTACCAGCTTAATCGATTAAAAAATCTACATGTGAAATAAATCTACGCTTACATTGCTACATGTACATTTACAATGAGAATGTTACACACAAGTAATGATGTTATTTAACGATGTACTGATCACGTTTTCTACCCTCCGGTCATTTTTTCTTTATGTACACGAACATCGTGAACTTACTGATCTTTTCATTGATATTGTAATACAAAATGTATTTGAATTGACATTTAGATCCGTTTACATATTTACTGGATTTTCACTTTAAACAAGATTTTATTGTTCTGTAAGTAGAAATCTTTACTTCATATGAACTAAGTAATTACGTTTCTAACACAATTATTTAATCATTGCTTAAGTCTTAATTCTTTACTGATGAACTATAGGTGAGTATTTATATTGTTGCATTAGTCACAATTTGTAAGTTCAGTTCAGTGTGAAAAATGTAGTAGCTGATTACAAATTGGCACCGTTATTTTGGCTGACAAACTGACCACTTGTTTTTGAAACTTTTCATAGTTTATTTATTGCAGTTTGCGATTGAGTCATTTGTACGGTTATCACTATAGCAAGTCAATAATATATATGTATATATAGTTTCAAAAGAATTATCACATCTCATATTCATGGAGATTATTTGACACTACAGTCATGGTCCATTCATTGACTAAAATTCTGGCCTTTGTTAGTCTTATAAAAATAAGAAAATGTGGTATACTTGCCAACGAGACACCTCTCCACAAGAGACTAAATGAAACAGAAATTAACAACTATAGGTCACCGTACGTCCTTCAACAATCAGCAAAACCATACCGCATAGTCAGCTATAAAAGGCCCCGAAATGACAAATGTAAAACAATTCAAACGAGAAAACTAACGGCCTAATTTATGTACAAAATAATGAACGAAAAACAAATATGATACACAGAAACCAGCAACAACCACTGAATTATAGGCTCCTGACTTGGGACAGGCACATACAGAATATGGCGGGTTAAACATATTAGCGGGCGCCCAACCCTTACCCTAACCTGGGACAGTGGTGTAACAGTACAACATAAGAACAAACTATGAACATCAGTTGAAAAAGGCGTAACTCATCAGATGGATACAAACAGAAATACATATAACAAAAACACAGAGTGGACATGGCAGGGTACTTATACATCCCCTCTAAGTACAGATATGAGAGTACTCACAGTTACTTACAGCTAGTTCAAAGCAATAACAACTAATGAAAAATCATGCATCTAAGACTAAAATATCAATCAGTACACATCCAACATCCAATGAATTTAGTGTAAAGACGTCATTAACAGTCAGAGAAAAACATGACCTTGTATGTTTTGTTTTGGTTTTGTTTTTTTTTTAATTTTGGGTCATTTATATGTTTCTGCGTTTAGTGTGACGTCCATTTTTGCTGAACTAGTATACATTATTGTTTAGGGGCCATCTGAAGCCCGCCTCCGGGTGGAGGATTTTCTCGCTGTGTTGAAGACCCATTGGTGGCCTTGGGCTGTTTTCTGCTCTTTGGTCGGGTTATTGTCTCTTTGACACATTCCCCGTTTCCCTTCTCAATTTTATTTTAGATTTATTAATTTTTGTTTGTTTTTAGCATTTTTATTTTTCTACCAACGGTACATACATTCAAACACAATTTCAAGGAGATGTGGGATAATTGCTAATGAGACAACAATCCACCAGAGAGAAAAGGGCATGGCTATAGGCAACGGTTACACGTTTATTCAATGATTTAGTTTTATTTGCGTCTTTACAAGAAAGGTAGGACGCTATAACAGTATTATTTTCAAAAAAAACATTTGTTAAATATTAATTGTTTAACGAGAAACTGTCAACTGTAACATAATCGGAAAGAATATAAACTAGAGGCTCTCAAGAGCCTGTGTCGCTCACCTGATTCTACTTTGGTTTTGGAAATCATGTAAAAATAGATTAAAATCATAACAGATACCCTAATAATGAGTGAGGCCAAATTTGGTTTAATATTGGTCCTGTAATTTAATAAAAAATCCTGGTGGCCATCTTGAACAGTAAATCGGCAACAAAGTAGCAACACTTAATCAGCACCTCATAAGGAACATTTATGCCATGTTTTGGTTTCATTCCATTCAGTGCACCTCTAGAAGAAGCATTTGTATGTATTTCCCATAGGGTCTTATGTTAAAGGAAGTCCCCCAATTGGCGGCCATCATGGATGAAGGATCAGCTTCAAAGTAACAAAACTTAGTCAGCACCTCATAAGGAACATTCATGCCATGTTTGTTTTCAATCCATTCAGTATGTGGTTCTCTAAAAGAAGTCATTTGTATGTATTGTCCATAGGGTCCTTTGTTGAACATTGCCCCCATCTGGCAGCCATCATGGATGAAGGATCAGCTTCAAAGTAACAACACTTGGTCAGCACCTCAAAAGGAACATGCATGCCATGTTTGGTTTCATTCCATTCAATGGTTCTCTAAAAGAAAACATTTGTACGTATTTCTCATAGGGTCCTATGTTTAACTAAGTCCTCCGCTGGCGGCCATCTTAGATTATGGATCTGCTTCATAGTAACAACACTTGGTCAGCACCTCATAAGGAACATTCATGCCATGTTTGGTTTCATTGCATTTAGTGGTTCTCTAAAAGAAGACATTTTTATGTATTTCCCATAGGGTCCTATGTTAAACTAAGTCCCCCGCTGGCTGCCATCTTGGATGATGGATCAGCTTCAAAGTAACAACACTTGGTCAGCACCTCATAAGGAACATTCTTGCCATGTTTGGTTTCATTCCATTCAGTGGTTCTCTAAAGGAAGACGTTTGTATGTATTTCCCATAGGGTCCCATGTTAAACTAAGTCCCCCGCTGGCGGCCATCTTGGATTATGGATCGGCTTCAAAGTAACAACACTCGGTCAGCACCTCATATGGAACATTCATGCCATGTTTGGTTTCACTCCATTCAGTGGTTCTCTAAAAGAAGACATTTGTATGTATTTCTCATAGGGTCCCATGTTAAACTAAGTCCCCTGCAGGCGGCCATCTTGGATTATGGATCGGCTTCAAAGTAACAACACTCGGTCAGCACCTCATAAGGAACATTCATGCCATGTTTGGTTTCATTCCATTCAGTGGTTCTCTAAAAGAAGACATTTGTATGTATTTCCTATAGGGTCCAATGTTAAACTAAGTCCCCTGCTGGCGGCCATCTTGGATTATGGATCAGCTTCATAGTAACAACACTTGGTCAGCACCTCATAAGGAACATTCATGCCATGTTTGGTTTCATTCCATTCAGTGGTTCTCTGAAAGAAGACATTTGTATGTATTTCCCATAGGGTCCCATGTTAAACTAAGTCCCCCGCTGGCTGCCATCTTGGATTATGGATCGGCTTCAAAGTAACAACACTCGGTCAGCACCTCATAAGGAACATTCATACCATGTTTGGTTTCATTCCATTCAGTAGTTCTCTAAAAGAAGACGTTTGTATGTATTTCCCATAGGGTCCTATGTTAAACTAAGTCCCCCGATGGCGGCCATCTTGGATAAGGGATCGGCTTCAAAGTAACAACACTTGGTCAGCACCTCATAAGGAACATTCATACCATGTTTGGTTTCATTCCATTCAGTATGTGGTTCTCTAAAAGAAGTCATTTGTATGTATTGTCCATAGGGTCCTTTGTTAAACATTGCCCCCATCTGGCAGCCATCATGGATGAAGGATCAGCTTCAAAGTAACAACACTTGGTCAGCACCTCAAAAGGAACATGCATGCCATGTTTGGTTTCATTCCATTCAGTGGTTCTCTAAGAGAAAACATTTGTATGTATTTCCCATAGGGTCCCATGTTAAACTAAGTCCCCCACTGGCGGCCATCTTGGATTATGGATCGGCTTCAAAGTAACAACACTCGGTCAGTACCTCATAAGGAACATTCATACCATGTTTGGTTTCATTCCATTCAGTGGTTCTCTAAAAGAAGACATTTGTATGTATTTCCCATAGGGTCCTATGTTAAACTAAGTCCCCAGCTGGCGGCCATCTTGGATTATGGATCGGCTTCAAAGTAACAACACTCGGTCAGCACCTCATAAGAAACATTTATGCCATGTTTGGTTTCATTCCATTCAGTGGTTCTCTAAAAGAAGACATTTGTATGTATTTCCCATAGAGTCCTATGTTAAACTAAGTCCCCCGCTGGCGGCCATCTTGGATGATGGATCCGCTACAAAGTAACAACACTTGGTCAGCACCTCATAAGGAACATTCATGCCATGTTTGGTTTCATTCCATTCAGTGGTTCTCTAGAAGAAGTTCAAAATGTAAAAAGTTAACGTCGACGACGGTGAGCTAAAAATGTAAGGTATCCCTGTTACGTACATTTATTGTTGAGGCAAGGTTATCCACACTACAGGCAGCTTTATCTAGAACATTACATTAGAGAATGGGGCCTGGGTGGCGATAAGGTCTAAGAAGTCCATCTACTATATCACTAGCCTGTCAACACTTAGGTTGTAAGTTGTGTTCAACTCCAATCTTAATTGACAAGCATGGTCAGTTTTCCTGCTGACGGTTGGTTGTTCTCTCTGGGCACTCCGGCTTCCTCTACCAATAAAAACTTACAGCCACGATATCCAAGCACTTCCGCTCCCTCTACCAATTATAGCTGACAGCCATGATATAGCCAAGAGTGCTGATAGTGGCGTTAAATACCAACATTCAATCAATCATGCACTAGGAAACCCTACAATTTGTGAAACATACACACCATAAATTGCAGCAAGAAAAAAATCAGTATCTAAAAAAGGATGTTTCTATATTCGTTTTTCTTTAGGCCAGGGTGTTGTCCGATTTCTTTATGACCTTTGTTTTTTATGGCCCCTTGGTATCTTATTTTGAACAGATATATCATGTTAAGGAGGGGTATTTGCGAAAAATACCAGTCGAGAGAATGTTAAATTTCGCGAGCCGTAAGGCGAGGGAATTTCATTCTCAAGACTGGTATTTTTCGCAAATACCCCTCAAGAACATGCTATATCTGTTTAACTACACCGAATGTTAACGTACAAAACGCATTGATGATCGTGACATAAAACGCATTGATGATCGTGACATTACAAGAGTCCAGTCGGATAGAGTATTTTTTGGCAAATACCACGGCAGAGAGGGTAAAAAAGGCATATCCTTTTTGCATATACCCCGGCGATGTTTAAAAATGAACGATATTCATTTGATAAAAGTAAATTGGTGAAAAATACACTGGCTATCAACCAATCAAAACCCAGGATTCTTACATAAGGTGTAATTATACCCTAAACACACCGATAGTAACAATTCTTGAGTTGCACAAACACATACTGAGAACAAAACTTTTATTGCGCTAATGTCAACAACAAAAACTAACACTTTATAAATATTATGCTTTTCTAAATTACTCTCCATCAGGAATGCTCAAAGCTAAAACTTTGAAAGCCAAGTTTGTGAAAGTACTGAAACCGATGAAAAGCTATATTTACTATTTGGGACAACAAATCTTTGAAATATTTGTACGAAATTTATATTATAATCGCTTATTTTTATGGTTATTGCATGTGATAACAAAGTGTTTAACAATTGAATGTGAAGTAAATCTTAATAATAAATCAATAAGAAGATCTAGTTATTTATTTTGTTCATGATTTGATTTCAGTGTGTAGTTCTTCATTGAATGTTTAAATAGGTATGTTCTCATTGTTGTAGTTCTTCATTGAATGTTTAAATAGGTATGTTCTCATTGTTTCTTTTCATTATATTTCCATTTATGCAAAACGTTTACTAACAATGACAATGGCTGTTGTATACGTTTAATACAAAGTTATATTTCTTGTCAATTTTATGGAAATATACTAAACAAGTGATATGCAGTACGTTTAGATATAAATTGGTGTCCTTTAAGAGGAGATTGACACGCTTTTGGGATGTGGGATATGGGAGGGGGTCAAAAAAAGTGATGATGTGGGATGGAGGGGGTACAAAATTGGAATCCGGGAAAAACGTGTGAAATGGGAAAAATTACAAAAAACGGGATTTTGAAAGGAGCACCCCCGTGTCAGCCGCTTTTGAATGACAATTTTTTATTTAAACCTTTCTTCTTGTAGATTGTTTCCTCAGCAAAAGATTCAAAAATGGGAATGATTTGTCTGCAGTGTTTTGTTCTTTTATTGCATTGTTCTTTTGTACATGGAACATCAAAAGGAGCTTTACCACAATCATGTAACACTATGACGCCAGGACATACAAGCACTGCTGCACAGACTAGTCCTGCGCCTTACAGTGTAACAGTAAGCAAAACCAAGTACACTGGAGGTGACACTATATCAGGTATACTGATTTTCTTTCACAGATTTGCAAAGAGGGTAGATCAAGGGTCAGCTTTATATATATTCCTTGTATTATAAATTTACAACATACACACATTTACTCGAAAATTATTCTTAATATTAACTTAAAAACTCGTATATTGAATTTGTATACGCCCGTTTACGGGACGTATTATGGTATACCGTTATCCGTCTGTCCGTCCGTCCGTCTGTCGTCAACATGTCGGACAATAACTAAAAAACGCTTTAGCCAATTTTCATGAACTTTTGTGAATTGTTTATATTTATTTCGATTTTTATAAGTTTTAGATTTTTCGTTTCTGAGTTTGGGGTGATTTTCTAGTTTGCGGACAGTATCTCAAAAAATGCTTGGAGAAGTTTTCAGGTGACTGGTTTATATCTATTAAAATAAGCTCCCTTTAGTTTTTTTTTTTTTTTATAAATTTCTGATATGACATTAAGGAGTTATGGAACTTCATTCGTTGAAAAAGCGACGGGCGTATCATGCGCTCATGGCGCAGCTCTTTATCATTATTGCTTCAATTGCAAAGCATTGACTAAATATAAATTGGTCATTTTTTCTGTAATGCGTATCACAACATTCAAGGTGTTCCGAATGGCTTTTTGTTTGGTCTTTTCTTTGCTGTGATATTATGAGGGAAAAGAGAACTTTATCTCAGTTAGGGTACTTTACATGCAGCTCCATTATATCGTTCCTGTAGAAGTCAAACTTGCTGTCAATTGTTGTAATAAAAATGTACATGAACTTGCCCATGCTTGCATACTTAAAACCGCATAGTATTTTACCACTTTTCTGGCAAATACAATATATTGAACGGCAGTGAATTGCTTTTATGCAAATTCAAAACCCAAAAACCTTTAACATGTTCCACGTCATTTCAAAATAAGTTATTTGCTATAGTATGACATAAGGAGATATAGTATGACATAAGGAGATATAGTATGACATAAGGAGATATAGTATGACATAAGGAGATATAGTATGACATAAGGAGATATAGTATGACATAAGGAGATGTGGTATGATTGCCAATGAGACAACTATATAAAAAAACAAAGCCCAAATAAAGCGGATTTAAGCAACTAAAATAGGTCACCATTTGGCATTCAGCAATGAGCAAAACCCATACCGTATAGTCAGCTATAAAGGTCCGTCATGACAAAATGTGAAACAATTCAAACGAAAAAACCAACAGCCTGATATATGGCAAAACAATACACGAAAAATGAATATGACAGACAGCAACAAACGACAACCACTTACAGGCTCCTGAGTTTTAACATTCACATATGGAATGTGTGCATGACAAGGATTTGTTAACTTTTCATTTTCAAAAATAGATAGATCGGTAACATTTTGACTTCATAAAGAAATATTTACTCACTGCTTTTGTTTGGATTAAAATTGAATGATAACAGCATAATAAGACTCACTTAGTGCGTTTAAGTGAACCTTGGAATAGTAAACATTGAACTCCTTCACCAAATCGTATTACATGTTATTCTGAACCCTTAGTTAATCATTTCCACGATGAGTGACGAAACAGGTTTGACACTTTTTCGTTTTCCCTAAATATTTGTGAACAGTAATCAGTAAGCAGGCATTAAAACTTTATTTTGAAGCACATAGATTTCTATACTTTTTCTTCGAGAAATGTAGGTTTCAAACTTAGTCAGTTTAAAGTAAGTATCCAACCAGACACGTGCGATGATGTGCATTCAGATAAATTAACTTGTTTTGTATTTTACACAATGTAGAAGCTTCACTTTCAATACTACTGAATTTATATATTTTATGTTTTCGTTTTTTTTTTAAGTTACACTATCAAAAACAGCAGCAAAACAGTTCAAAGGATATTTGATCCAGGCCAGGAATCAAGATGGAACAAAAATACCTGGTTTTAACCTTATAGCGAATTCCAAATATCTCAAGTGTGATAGCCCAGTAAGTGACTAAGATACAGTTATAATATTTAAGTATCTGAAATGAATAAATGAAGATACGGAGTGTACTCCAAAGAGATATTAACCAATCAGAACAACAAATCCAGAAAGATAGATGGACGGATTGTACGCTAAGCTGCAAATATTTTATGCTTTTTAGATTCAACCACAGGAACGAGTGAAAACAACTGTCATATTCTAGACTTGGTACAGGTATCCTCAGAAGAAAATTGTGGGTGAGATCTCACAAAACATGTTTAACCCCGCCGCATTTTTGCGCCTGTCCCAAGTCAGGAGCCTCTGGCCTTTGTTAGTCTTGTATGTTTTTTTAATTTTAGTTCATGTATATGTTTCGGAGTTTAGTGTGACGTCCATTTTCACTGAACTAGTACACATTTTTGTTTAGGTAGCAATACACAGTTAGGAAAAAAACTTAAAATTGACACTCATAATTTTTAAACACCCTCTTTGCCTTCCTTTCTAACAAATAAGGCCTAATATTTGTGTTATGTATGTGTATATTTGTGGAAAGAGAATCTTCCATAGATTTGATTTCCAATATTTATAATGGTGAAATATAATCTCTTTTTGGTGTAACCATGGCAACAATCTTTATTTATTTGATATAAAATATTGCAAAAAGGGGGGTAAACATGTCACAAAAGTCTCAAAAATTTGGTCAAAAGGTAAATTTCAATCAATTAGAGTGATACCTTTCCTGAAACCATAGAAATATATCTATCAAGAGTTCAAAAAAAAATCATATGCATTTCTGCTCGTTTTTCCATAAAATTGAATTGAAAAGATCGAGCGTCAAATCTTTTTTGAAAAATTAACACTACAATAATTTCTAGACCTATGGGCGGTACGGATAGGAAAATACGGACTGTCAAACATTTAAATTGCCTATAAAACATGCTAAAAACAATCTAAATGTTAATATAAACCCACTAAGAAGGCTATATTATTCTTCAACTATCTAAAACTCAATTTTATTGTACAAAAACTTTTATATTTAAAAAATTCACCATGGCCATAATGCGAAACTAAACTTCTAACTGTGTATTGCTACCTTAGGGGCCAGCTGAAGCCCGCCTCCGGGAGCGGGTTTTTCTCGCTGTGTTGAAGACCCATTGGTGGCCTTGGACTGTTTTATGCTCTTTGGTCGGGTTGTTATTTCTTTGACACATTCCCCATTTCCATTCTCAATTTCACCCACGTTAACAGAAAGGCAGTAAACTAGAATAGACATCAGGATGTCATCAAATGACATAGTATAACTCGAAATAGAGTGATAACAACACTACAAAAGTCAAAAAGTCTGAAAAGACCAGTTTTTGTCTGAATTTGCATGAATTTTTACTCGACATTCTTAATTTGTCTGAATAATTTTTAAAAATTCTTGACATAGTATGAATTTGTCTAATAAGGTTCTTGATTTTTCTTGACAAGTGTCTTGACAGTATGAACATTGTCTTAAAATTTCACGACACTTCCTGTATCATCTGATAAGAGTCTGGATTAGTCTCGACCAATTCTTGACTGTTTTAAATTTGTCTCGATCTGTCTTGACATATTCTTGACATTCTTAATAATGTCTGAATATGTCTCGACATATTCTTGACATTCTAAATAATGTCTGAATATGTCTCGACACATTCTTGACAGTCTTAAATATGTCTTGACACTATCTCAACAGTATAAATTTCGCCTGAAATGTGAACAGACTTATTCTGCACTGTTTATGACATTCTATTGCTGTTATATACTCCTTTTTATTATGGCTAAACTAAACTTTGAAGAATCAAGGATTAATTTGGAATATATAGTAAGATACCCTTTTGGTGCAACTAAGTTGTAATACGCTGAATAATCCCCCATGTAGTTTAATTTTGATTTATTTTTATTAAACATTTAAGTAATTGTTTTCACTTGGAATATAAGTAGAAGGTATTGACAAACAGCATTTAGATTTTTGCCGTTCGCAAAACTGCCAGTCAAATTTGCTTTACTAAAATAGGTGTCTTGTATCTCTTTTGGACCCCACAATTCATCTTTTGGGTTTGTGTAGCTAAAAAAAGAGAGGGGGGGGGGGGGGGGGGGGCTTTCGTTTAGGTCAAAGAATTTGTTCCCATCTTACTTTATAAACCTTATTCATTTTTTAGAACAACCCAAAAACATTTTTTATTCAAATTTGAGTGTTGAATTTTATAATTTTTTATCAAAAATAAATATTAATAAATAATATAAAAACTCCTTCCTGAAAAGAAAAAAATGTTGATGGGACCCATTATAAATACATTTTTTTTTTATTCCGGGAGTAGATAATAATTTTCTTTTAATCTTTGGGAATTATTCAATTTGTTTTTATGTTAAAATAATTAACTTCATAATTTTGATGAAGAAAATCCATTTCAATTCAATTTTTTTTCATTAAAATGATGATTTTCATTTTCATCTATCAACAAACTTTTTAAATTGTAGTGGCATGGTCGGTCAACTGATAAGTTGTATGGCTGATTACAGGTAAAGCAATAACTTCTATTTGACAAGTTGCGTGTACTCTGGGGTGTGGAATACCTTAATTTTATGGGGAACATCCTGTCCATGTGTAATACTTAATATATTCCAACAGATGACATTACACAAATTTTTCTTCTGCTAAATGAATGATTTGTATATCATCATAATTTGCTATTTATATAAACCACATTTTGGTATAATAATTATTTACCATATCAACATTGAATATTATGAATGTAGAATGAAATATGTCTACAGTATGATTGGTTTGAATCATTTAATTTATAAGATTTAGGAATCAAAATTTGTAATTATTTAAAAACCCACATTGAAATTGTTTTATATCAACACAACCACATTTGAATTATTTTATACTTTAGATTTCATAGCCAAATTTGAATTTGTAAAAATATTTATATACCCAAATTTTCAATTATTTTACATGCCCAACTTTTATTTTTGTTGTAAAGAAGTGTAACTTGAAACAACAGTATATCATATAAAGAGAAATAAAGATTAAAGTTATATCATGAATATTGGTCATGATTTGTAAAACTCAGAACTGTCAAGTAAATTTAAGACACGATTCAAAATGTTCAGAATATGTCAAGCCATACTGAGAAAAAATAAGAATGTCGAGAATATGTCGAGAAATTTCAAGACAGTATTCAAATGTCAAGAATTTGTCAAGAAATTTTAAGACCATATTCAGAATGTCGAGAATATGTCGAGTAAATTTCATACAAATTTAATATAAATGAGAATTTGTCAAGAAAAATTAAGACACAAGTCATACTTTTGGAGAATGTCGAGTAAAAGTTCATGCAAATTAAGACAAAAACTGGTCTTTTCAGACTTTTAGACTTTTGTAGTGCAAATGCCTCAGCAAAATAAATATATCCTGCTATATCTCCGGTATGTGTTAAAATAGAGAGATATGGCAAGACTACTCTTGAAACAAATATCTACTAAAAGACCAAGAACAAAGATCAAACAATGTAAACAATTTCAGTATAAATTCATCACATGTCACATATTTCAAAATGTTCATCAAAAGGTAAATGACAAAAATTTTACATCCCGGATTTATGAGCTTGTGAAAAATCACTTTTAATTTGAGAAACATGATCATTTATAAAAATAAGAAGATGTGGTATATGATTGCCAATGAGACAACTATCCACAAGAGATCAAATGACCGAGAAATTAACAACAATAGGTCACCGTACGGCCTTCAACAATGAGTAAAACCCATACCGCATAGTCAGCTATAAAAGGCCCCGAAATGATTTAGGCCATTTGCCCCTTTAGATTTTGTGTTATTGTTACCTACACATCTATCATAATCTTTATAATCACATCTTTATAATAAGAGCACGAAGTAAGAATATGAGGGGTCCTTAGGTGGCCTGTTGCAAGGCAAAATGTCTGTCCTAATACGTCATTTTCCAGTTGCAGTCCCAATCTCCCCGACCTTCATTCCGGACGGCCTCTATTACATGACATACCTATTTTTTCATTGTTAATTTGCTCTCGTCCTGTACATGCATGAACTATTTGCCACTGACCGTTACGTTAAGCAACCAACAATCAACCAACAATCAAAATGAATTTTTTTACCAATTGAAAAGCCATCGCCTGTTACTAATGGTATATGACTTCTCAAGAATAAGAAGTCAACAAAAGCAAAACTGTTATCACCAAGTTTCCAGTTCGACGATTATCAATGATGATATTTAACGGTCTTTCCCTCAACAAGAAATCGTTTAAAAGACAAATAATAAAATAAGATGCAAACAAAGGCAACTACAGTGTAAAGTCGGAAATTTGTGCATGGTTTTTTAATTTATTATGGCGAAAATCGCAACGACATAGCTCTTGCAAAAACGTAAAACTCGTATTTCAAATTTTGATAGCATTATTCATATGTAGTATGTCATGAAATCGCAATGATGAATAAAACACAGACAAGACATCTGAGTAAGGAATGAAGAGGAACCATTCCATAATTTAAAACATAAATCAAATTTCAATACAATAACAATGTTTGTATTGGACAGGTAATATCCTTGGGAACTAACAATTCACCAGCATAGGTATCGACCGAGTACTAGTAATAACATGAACGGAACAAGTTTTATAATACAAGATGTGCATTTCGACAAATAATGCCTCTTCGGTGATGCTATTTGAAAAGTGAAAATCCAAAATCTAAAACAAAAGCTAAAACCAAAATCCACGAAAAGTAGTCACCATTAAATAGTGACAGTAATGATGACTTGTTCGATTTTCGACATGTGAAAGCCGAGAGGCAACAGTTACCATAGGGATATTCAAACTCATAAGTCGATAACAAACTTACAATGCCATGCCCAAAAAAAAAGACAAACTACGAAAAGACCAACAACAAAACAGAAAACACGTGATGTGTGACATAGTCGATATAGTTTAACTTTCAAGCATTGAGAGGGGTAACATTTGTCATCCAGTCACAAGTTCCGCAGCCTTTGACTAGAGTCATGTGAATCATTTCGTACTTTCGTGGGGAAAGTTTGTACCACCTGCTAGTAAATATGTTTCACTTGATATGATTTTGTAAACCACACAAAGAACATCAATAACATACATGTACTTTAAATAAAGCTGATTCATACAAAAACTAATAATCAATGCTTACTCATGTTTATTGTTAGTAGTAAAAAATGTTTTAATATTAACAGAATGATGCCGTAACACACACAGAAGCCACAGAAAAAGACAGCGTTACTTTTCAATTTACAGCCCCAACCACATCAAAGGGAAATATAACAATTTTGTAAGTATAAACTTACCTTTTTATAAAGTTAGATACATGTAACACTAATCAAACCATCTATTCAGAATTGTTGGTCATAGCCTTCAATATTTTCACTGCCAATGAAATTGTATTCCTCCGAAAAGAAATAGTTCAAAAATACACACTTGAAGGCAAAGAATGTTTTAATTGTGACATTTCTTATTTCACATTAAACCTTTTGATCCTGCAATCGACCTTTCTACTATACAAATACAGGTTGACAGATTACATGAAGCGATAAACGTATAAAAAACTTGCATAGTCAATTGGTATCTTGTTTCTGGTTCGAGCGAACGGTTATGTTCAAATTAATGTTGAAATAACAGTTCAATTTGGAGTCCTCATCGCGGTCTGCGTTTCAGTCATGCCGATTTTTTAATTAACGATTTGGAAGGGAAAAAACTATACTCTTAAGTTCAATATTAAAATGCAAGATAAAAACAATATCATTAAATTTTAGATATTTCTATGAAATGTAAGAGTCGATCGTATTCATTTTCTTAGTAATAACAGCTTTCTTTTTTTAAAAATTACAAAGAAAAATGAAATTGAAATGTTTATTGAAATGGCGTATAACTGACACGTCACATTACATTGCCAATGCAGAGGAATATCACAACATTTTATTGCCACATGTAGTTATGTTAGATTTTGTTACCGGAAATGCACATAAAAAACGAGTTTGTATTATCAAACGATTCGATTTATAAAAATGCATGTCAAGATTTGTCTTTTCAGTACAACTGCCGTAGAAAATTACAGCACTTACTGGGTAATGATGCAGTCTGACACAATTATTGACGCAGTCGTCACTGGTGCCTCATCAAGATTCCTTCCTGATTGTGTTCTTGTTGCCATTTCTCTATTTTGTTTTCACCTTTACCGACACTGAAAACAAAAAACTAAATTAAAGCAGGCAATGTTGAATTAATTCAAAGAGAAAATAGAGAAATAACTTTATAGCCTGATTTGAATAGAAAACAGACCCTTATGTGACATGGGAAGGAACAACAGTACTGTTTATTTTAGAGTTATCTCCCGTTGTGTTTATTTTAGAGTTATCTCCCGCTGTTTTGTATAATTTTTTCACATATTGATTGTTTTGTACAATTTTTTCACAGATTGACAGAATGCTGATATAAAGGTTATTGATTTAACAGAAAGATACAAAATTGAATGAAGGATATAATTGAAACAAACTTATTCATATACTACAATGTGAAACAAATTCTGACTTTAACCAATTTAACTTTTCTGTTCAGATTCTTATCTCCTTTTTTTTCATTTTTGTTTTTTGTTTTATGTTTTTTGTCTATGAAACATTTTGCATCATCCTAAACCTATGCATGAGATCAAACTCAAATTTGCATAAAAAGTTAGTCAGTACAAATTCTTGTACAAACTCAACGATTTTCACTGTCTAAGCTATGATTTTATAAACACCATTTTTCTATAAATGATTTTTAAATAATAATGAATTTTCATTTCTTAATTCTTGTAAATCCATCGTTTGTAAGTAAATCGCTATTAACATCCATGAAATATTTGCTACTGAACGTAAAGCAAACAACAATCAATCACTCATGTATGTACATTTGATAGGTTTATGTTTCGTCATCACAAATATGTTTCTTAAGAAAAAAAACTGTTACAGTAAATTAAATCTATCAAACTTATATAATTTCACCGGGTTTGTACAAACATGAGCAACACGACGGGTGCCACGTGTAGAGTAGGATCTGCTTACCCTTCAAGAGCACCTGAGATCACCCCAAGTTATTGGTGGGGTTCGTACTGCTCAGTCTTTTGTTTCCTATGCTGTGTTTTGTGTACTGTTGTTTGTTTGTCTTTTTCTTATTAGCCATGACGTTCTCAGTTTATTTTCGACTAGTGAGTTTGAATGTGCCTTTTGTATCCTCGCTTTTCTTTTGTTTAACTTATTTGGTATGCTGAATTATCGACAGTACAAGACCGATATGTATAAACCAATTGCAATATATCGTTCTGTATTTGCATGAAATATTTGTCATTGGACGTTAAGAAACCATCAACCAATCAATCAATCAAAACCAATATTATATGCATTCTGCTAAACACGTTTAACTCTTTTATTTACAAACAAAAATCAGTTTGGTGAATTGGTATTCCAACAAACGTAAATAATACAATGAGTTCTTGTTGTATACCCTGACAAGATTTGTACTAACCTTCATTTAAACAAGAACAAAATTCGTCTTATTTTATTCTCTTGTATAGAAATGATGTCCTTTTACTTAATAATCCTGTTCAGTAGATACTTACGTTTGGTATATTCCGTCAAACTTGAAATTAATGATTCTAAGAGGAAAGAAAACTTTCTGAGTATCTTTTTACTATTTTTCTTGAAAATGAGCTGAAACTATGAGCAATGGCATACACAACAATTTCACTTTTCTACTTGTTATTTCACATTTTTATTGGTAATATAGAATATCATATGAGTAAGCCTATGACCTTTACGTAGAATATCATATGTAGAAGCCTATGACCTTAACGTAGAATATCATATGAGTAAGCCTATGACCTTAACGTAGAATATCATATGTGTAAGCCTATGATCTGAACGTAGAATATCATATGTGTAAGCCTATGACCTTTACTTAGAATATCATATGTAAGCCTATGACTAAACGTAGAATATCATATGTTGAAGCCTTTGACCTTAACGTAAAATATCATATGAGTAAGCCTATGACCTTAACGTAGAAAATCAAATGTGGAAGCCTATGACCTTAACGTAGAATATCATATGAGTAAGCCTATGACCTTAACGTAGAATATCGTATGTGGAAGCCTATGATCTAAACGTAGAGTATCATAAGAGTAAGCCTATGACCTTAACATAGAATATCGTATGTGAAAACCAATGACCTTAACATAAAATATGATATGTGTAAGCCTTTGACCTTAACATAGAATATCATATGAGTAAGCCTATGACCTTAACGTAGAATATCATATGTGTAAGCCTATGACTTTAACGTAGAATATCAGATGAGTAAGCCTATGACCTTAACGAAGAATATCATATGAGTAAGCCTATGACCTTAACGTAGAATATCGTGTGTGTAAGCCGATGACCTTAACATGGAATATCATATGTGTAAGCCTATGACCTTAACATAGAATATCATATGAGTAAGCCTATGACCTTAACGTAGAATATCATATGTAGAAGCCTATGACTTTAACGTAGAATATCATATGTGGAAGCCTATGACCTTAACGTAGAATATCATATGTAGAAGCCTATGACCTTAACGTAGAATATCATATGAGTAAGCCTATGACCTTAACGTAGAATAGCATATGTGGAAGCCTATGACCTTAACATAGAATATCATATGAGTAAGCATATGACCTTAACGAAGAATACGATATGTGTAAGCCTATGACCTTAACGTAGAATATCATATGAGTAAGCCTATGACCTTAACGTAGAATATCGTATGTGTAAGCCGATGACCTTAACATGGAATATCGTATGTGGTAGCCTATAAGCCAACGGTCTAATCTATATAAAAATACGAGAAACGAGAAACACGTATGAACTACATAAACAGACGACAACTACTGTAATCAGATTCCTGACTAGGACAGGTGCAAACATTTGCAGCGGGATTAAACAAATCCAGAAAACACTACACAGAACACTTAAGACTGAACAACACAAGATTAGGTTGACCTCTAGATGTCATTTGGGTCCATATATATCGTTGGGTTATTGACGTATACCACACATCATTCTCCTCGTGACACATGTCCCCGATTCTGCAGATATGTTAATGATTTAGACATGTATTATATAGGGCCGTACACATAAAACCAGAGACATAATATACATGTATATATGATCATATATGGCTCTGGTTATAAAACTGCTCACAAAACATTAAACCTTCCGGGCTCATGGTTTCTTTTTCAAGAATCAACGCTTATGCATTGTGTCTATACTACAGAATTACAGAATGTCATGTTAGTACTAACAAAGGATAATTAAATAAAGGAAGCTAAGCTAAAATGATAAAGATACATCAATTATACGTCCACGTGAATGACCTATATTTCAATGCAGACTTTCCAATGGTGTGATGTTGTGAATTTTAAAAATTCACGAGACTCTCTTTGTTTGAATCAATCATTTATTTTCACCACAAAACAACACGTGGTTGTCATTAATTGTGGTAAACGAAATGTTTCCTTCAAAATAGTATACGTGGATCTGTAATATCCGGGAGCACATGTCCCCTTATAAAATTGCTTAACGACTAACATTGACACGACGTCGTGATACAAATTTTCATCTAATCCCTCCACAACAGGGTTGTGTTTTGCTGGCTTCTAGTACGCATGAGGATAGTACACGTTGAAGACTGCGGATAGTACACGTTGAAGACTGCAAATAAGTCCGTATACTTTAAGATCAGCTCATTCATCACAGAAACCAGCGGTTCACAATCAAATTCTTCAGATCTGGAACACCAGTTGATTATTCAGATAATCTCAACAATAGAAACTTCATGATTTAATGTTGTATTGTAGAAAAAGAAACACTTATTTATTTAAACCATTCCTGCTTATCATAAAATGTAAATACTTTGTCTCGGTATGCTATTCTATATATCTTGGTCTATATTCATTGAAACCAATGTAAACATTTGTGATTTTATTATATATTATGCTTTGTAATGATGTAGAAGTTAATCCTGGTCCTTTAGGTGGTATTTTCTCTATTTTTCACGTTAACATTAGAAGTATGCATAGTAAAGTAGACGGGTCAAAGTAGACTATGTTGAAAGTATCAGTAACAAAGCAGAAGTGATTTGGTTAACCGAAATTCATCTTGACGAAAATATAAAGAATGAAGATATTATCATTGACTGTTATAATATAGATCCTTAAAGTCAAGATCGCAAATATTCGTGGGAGAAATTATAATTTATACAAGTACACTTATTCAAGTCAAACAAAGACTTGATATGGATAAACACATCATAGATACCAGGATTTAAATTTTGAACACCAGACGTTCAAAAAAATCATGTCAATAATTTAGAACGATATACAATAGAACCAACGCTAATAAATTGTTGGGTGCGTTCTCATGTGGAAATTCTAAATAGTGTCGAGTTTGTGTCACGTGCTCTGAAAGTCAAGGGCCCATCAGCTTTTTAGGCGTAAGTAGTTGGGCTGCTGCAATGTAAATAGCTTGCCCCCTATCCGTCATAGTATTACCCTCATTACCAGTGGCAGTCTAAAGTTCTTCATAACGCAGAATCTGCCTACTAATTACCACTGCACGATAAGCAGGAAACAACAAATCAATCAATCGTGATTCGAAAACATTTTTCACAAACGGCATAGATACTACTTTATATTTTTACATATAGCGTTAACAAATTTTTCTGCTTGCAAAATTCATTGAATCTGATGATTTACTGTCATTTGTTTTTTGAAGATAGGAATAATGTCATTATATATACAGTGCGTTTTCTTCATGCTGTTTTGCTCCTATGTATACGGGACTTCAAAAGGGGCATTACCTAAAGCATGTGATAACATGACTCCAGGTCATTATGGAACCAAGCCTCAAATTAGTGCCGCACCATTTCGTATAACAGTAGATAAAAATAAGTACAGAGGAGATAAAACAATACGAGGTAAATCGTAGTTTTAAAAATCCATCAGTCTAATGACAGTTCCTAGTTATAATATTGAAATATTCATATTTTTTTTTATTCTAGAAAAAAATAGTTTGGAATGAAATATGTCCCGTATATATTGTTAGCCGGATGAAACGAACATGAAACGTGACAACTTGACGTGGTCGTGTAATATTAGGGAAACATTTACACTCTCTCTGTTTAAATACTAAAACTGAACTGAAGTCAAACATTGTTTCAAATTTTCAAAAATGTTTTGAAGCACGCAGCCGGTATTTACAACTTTTTCGAGAGATGTGGTTTCAAAATTAAACAGTTGAAAGTAAAGTATCCTAACAACACACGTGTGATGGTCTATATAAAGATACATACCATACATTTAAGGCAAGGTAGAAGCTTCAATTTCAAGATATTAACTGCATCTCTGTTATGATTATTTTTTGTAGTAACACTATCAAAAACATCACCAAAACAGTTCACTCCCTCAGGCAAAGTTGACTTTATAAGATACAGTTATGATTTCCCCCGATTGTATCTAAAAAAAAGAATGGAGATAGGGATATTCATACAATGTACCAGACACCAAGCCAATCAGTCTGTAGTCTTGCTCGGAAATGTTGCGAAGGAAACTAGTTTTAAATTACCGGACCGGAGGTCGAACCAACAACCTCCTGTCTTCGAAGCGCACGCGTAACCACGTTAACACAAAGGCAGTATCTATTTAAAGTATATCTACTGTTATGTCCCTGTATGTATCGACTCAGTGGTAGAA